GCTCCGCCCAGGCCTGGATTTGCAAAAAGTCCGCTCGGTAAAAGCGGCCCGTCCCAGGGTCCCACGCCCGCCCCCGCCCGTGAGTGTGACGAGCTCCCTCCCCCACGAGCTCGGCTGGGAGGTTGGCCAGGTGGCCCTGCGAGCCGAGCGCCTTCTCCGGCCGGCGGCAGAAGAGGAAGGGGCTGGAAGCAGGCGGAGAACACCCGCGGCCTCGCGGCTTGGAGGGTGCGGGGAGACGGATGCCTGCCGAGCGCCAGACGCGGGAGGCCCGAGCCTCACACGCCCCAGGGGGCGTAAGAATCCAGGCCCCCGGCACGGACAGAGGAAGGACGCTCAGTTAAGGGTGAATTCTCCCCCAAATCAGAGAAATGTAACTGACTTTTGAAAACCTGGCTTTTCTCTCGCAACTGAGTAAGAAAAAGAAACCAACTCATCTAAATGCTCTGCAAAGGGTCATATACACCAGTCACAGACGCAAAATAGAAATGGGAAAAAAAGTCCTCTCGTTCACAATTAAATATGTGCAAATTAAGTGATTATGGGCTATTTATTAGCATAAATTAAAAGCTTAATGACAACCAAGTCTCAGTGAGGGTAAAACACTGACACTGCCGTATGTTACTGACAGAAATGTAATTTGGGATACCCTTTCAGGAGTTCAAAACGTATCAAAGTTTGAAACATGCCAGCTTTTGACTCAGGAAGTTCTCAGCTAGGAATTCGCCTTACAGCCCTGCTCACAAAAAAGGTCACAAAAGCAAAATGAAGTTGTTTCAAGTGAAACTCACAATTTTATAGTTTATAGAAAAACTTCCCAAATTTTTCAGAAACGTAATAAGGGCTATAGCTCTCTTTCCAGATATAAGTGTGATGTGGATGGGGGCCCCTAAAGGCAGGCGGCCCCAGGAGCTCCCACGTGCTAACATAGCACTCTGTCCTGCGGCCCATAGGGATTATTTTAAAAGAGACACTGATCACTAAAAAGTCCACGAACGATAAATGCTGGAGAGAGTGTGGAGAGAAGGGAGCCCTCCTACACCGCTGGTGGGAATGCAGTTTGGTGCAGCCA